GAGCAGCTTGGTAGGAAGGGTTGGACACAGGAATGTTGCTGTGCGAGGGAAAGGTAGCTAAGGAAATTCTCTGTTTAAAAAAAAATTCAGAATAAGGTATGGCGGCAAGTTAAGTATTTTTCATTTTAGTTGGAAAAATTGAAAGAGTTCTAAAGGCTAAAAAAAAAAAGTCAACAGTGTTTGTTGAACATGAAAACATTGGCTGGTGTCACCTAGTCTTCAGACTTTGACCCTGCTTTAAGTTCGATGACTTCCCAGAGTGAAGTCACTCCAGGTCCGTCTTCTGTAGTTTGGCTGTGGTTTCAGTCAGAACTGAGGTTTGTTCTCATTTGCTTTGTTTGGGGAAAGATTTGATTGGTAAATGTTTTCATTAACTTTGCTTTTTTTTCCCCCGTATACACAAAACCTGCCAGTCTAACTCACCAGGAATGGTTTTAAATGTGTAATTTTTCCAATCAGGGAATTTCCCATCAAGGGACATTTTGTTTGCCTCCGGTTTGGGGCTTTTAAAAAGCAAAGCCTCGGGGCTTCAGGGTTTCGTGATGCACTCACTCGTGCTGGGCCCGCCCTCTGCCGTATTTGCTGTTTTCCCCAGTGCCCCGCCTATTGCTTTTACTCCCACCAGCAGAGCTTAAGAGCGCAGGTCTCTCATAATTGTTTTCGTTTTAGCTGTAGTAATAGATATGGGGCGATAGCTCGTTGAGGCTTTTGTTTGCATTTTTCTGATGACTAAATGACACTGAGTGAGCCTATTCTCATGTGTTTATTCCATCTGTATACCTTCTGTTGAAATGTCTCCTGAATTTTTTTTATCTATTTTCTAACTGGATTGTTTGAACATTACTTTTTAAATATTTGTGGAGTTTCCTTGAAAATCCTGGTAAGCAAAAGAAAATACTTACTTCATAAGCAAGAGAAACTCGGGAAGCTGCTTGTTGACATTGTTACTGTTTAAATGTAGATGGAGGAGCCAGAATGACATGTTTGGATTTTATTCAGATTCAAACATTGTAGTAGTGTTGAGATGATGAATATACAAGGGAGGGAGGGGAAAGAGAAAATTGGTTCAAGGACACAGAAGAAAAGATGAGGGTAGAAAATGTAGGTGGAGCAAAGAGAAGTCTGGCTGAAATCTGTTTTCATCGAGTGCGATTCTAGGAGGTTGGTCAAGGAATGGTGATGGGTTCCATATCTTCTGGGAACAGACCTATCTTAGCTGCCCTGGCCCATCATTCGTTGACTAGGAGCAGCTTGTGGCAAGGATATTCTCAGTGTAGGTGGATTTCAGATCACAACACAGCAGCCAGGGCACCTGTTGGCAACTGAAGTCTATTTTTCCCTACAGGTAAAGTATAGCTACTTCATGTCAACTAAGATGGAGCAAAGCGAGAAGTCCGTGGCCCTCAGTTGTGCTCCCGCCACTACAGCTCACCTCATGGCAACAATGTGCCCATCTTCTCCTTAATCTCCATTCTACCCTCTCTTCTTTTGTTTGCTGTGACAACAGAGACGTGTCTCCCTCACTGTTTACTAGTCATCTAGGACTCATTCTGTTTCTCGGGGTCACTGATAGAAGGATAAGTTCTGTATCCTGTTAAATAAGCCTGTCACGTCACTGCATCGCTAACCAGCTCTCTCTTCCAGTTCCCGTGTTCAAACATGCTCAGAATTCCTTCCAAGGAGTGCTCCTGTGGCACACTAATTGCAGCTCTGTGGATATAGAGTCTTTTACCCTGCCGGGTTCAGCATGGCCCCAGCTCACTGTACTAATATGTACCCCTGGTTATCAGCCTGGCAGCCAGGAGAGTACTGGAGGCGTATTCTAAGGGGTGGGAGGAGTATATGTTGTCTTGTGGGCAAAGGTCTCTGCAGCATCAGGTAGCACAGAAAGACTGTCTCAGATTCAAGAACTGTGCAGATTAGGGATGCTCAGGAACAATGTACTAGCCAGATGCAGTACATTTCCTATATTTCAGGATCCCAGGTATCCTTGACTCCGTGGTAGCTCTCTTAACTGTTCCTCTTTAACTATCCCTGCCATTCAAATGAAGAATGGCCCTCTGTAAGCTACCAGAGAGGCCGGCTCACATAGAGCCATTGACTGTGGACAGCACTCCCTCATTTCCTCATCTTCCCGAGGGTAAATACAGCCCAGTAGTTGCTGTGGGTGGCCAGTTCTCCTTCATTTCCCGACTGCCCAGACTCCCAGGATAATCACACAAAAATTATATTATTTGCAATACTTAATGGAATGTTAAAATAATGCCTTTAAAAAAATATAAATAGTCATTAAGGCAAAACTTACTATTAGAGACTTAAGAAGGTCATTCTATAATGGTAAAGGGGCAATTGATTAGGAACAGTGTGTGTGTGTGTGTGTGTGTGTGTGTGTGTGTATGTGTGTGTGTGTGTGTCTAAGAACAGAATTATAAATGTATCAACATAGAAAAATTCATGGATTCAGCATTCAATGTAATGCTACTTAGCAGTAAAGATACACAATTAGGAAAGAAAGATACAAAATGCTCAGCACCACTAGTCATTGGGGAAGTCCAAATCAAACCATAACAGAAGACTGTCACATGCCCAAGATTATGGCTAAAATGATGGAGATTTAAAATTTTATTGAGAATCTCATATGAGTTCTATTATTTACATAGTTTCATCACCCTTTCCATCATTACAGACACCCCACACACGCACACACACATGCACAAGCCTGCACACACATGAGCCAGGGATGAAGAAGTGACTCAGTGGGTAAGTGCTTACTGCACAAGCATGAAGACCTGAGCTTAGATCTCAGCATGAACAACAAAACCACAAAAGCTAAGCTTCCCCACATGTACGCATTGCCAGGGGCAGAGTGAAGAGAGGAAGCAGAGGTAAGAAGATCGCTAGATTTTGTTGACCACCTGCCTAGCCAAAGTGGTGGACTCCAGGTTTGGTAAGAGACACTGTCTCAATGAGAATAAGGAGAATGCCTAATATACTTTTCTAGCTCAGTGTTTTCATGGGCACTGGTACCTGCATTTGCATAAATACCATAATATATATATATATATATATGCGATAATTCCATGGTAGGCTTCACATATGAGAAATAACGTACAGTTCTTGTCTTTATGGGTTTGGTTGCCTCATTTAATATGTTTTCCAGTTCCACCCATTTTTCTACAAATTTCATTTTTATTCATAGATGAATAAAATTTCACTCTATACATGTACCGCATTTTCATTATCCACCAGCGGATGGTCATCTAAGCTGGTTGCATTTTTTTGCTGTTACTGAAGAGAGCTGCAATAAGCATGGATGTGCAAGTCTGTTAGAATAAGGACTCCTTTGGTTTATTTTGATTTTTTAAGTATATGCCCATTGTTTAAAGGAGTAGGTTTCATAATGATGTTTTGTTTTGTTACTTTCTCTAATTTCAATGTGTCTTAAGTATGTTTGCCAACAGTGTACGTGTTAGGCATGTTAACTTTGAGGGGCCTAGAAACAAAAAATTTGGCTATCAGCACAGAAATGGATCTTAGAGATGTGAATTTGTGAGTCATTGTTATGATTACTGAGAATGGACTAAGCATAGAAATTAAACAATAGAATACTAACTTCTAGAGAAGATAGGCAAAGTTCAGGCTCCAAAATGGGAAACAAGGAGTGAAGGAAAGGGAAAAGAACCAAGGCGGCCGATTTTGGGAGGGGTGGTTTAGAGGGTTAGGTGTGGCTGCTCTGGTCAGACTCAACCATTTGAAGTGGGCAGGTGCTACTGCTGGGACCTCACAGGGACTCAGCACTGCCACACGGTGGGCAGTGCAATGCCAAATGGCCAGGGAGTGAACACTTGGATCTATTCTCCTTGCATACATAAGGTTGCAGCATGCTTCCGGTTATGATAAATTCTTTTTCCACAGAACCAAACACAATTGCCCCAGGACCTGTAGCTGTGAGAGATTTGGGCAAATACTTGGGTTACTAGTGTGAACAGACAGGGAGCTGGGGGTGGTGGTAGAGAATGGCATCAAAAGGCGTCAAGACTAACACAGAACATGTTCCAGAGCCTAACAGCTCCTGTCTAATACTAAATTAGTTACTTTACAAATGGATTGTGTATTATCAATTTTTAGTACTTACTTTTTAATCTAAGATATCACTGTCTTTTCTACCACTGCATTTTATAATATAGAACACAATGGTGAGCAGTCTACAAACTATTTTGAGGATCAGGAAAATGGATGAGTTTTTTCAATACAAGTCTCTGCATTCAGACAAAAAAAAAAAAGACAAATTTGTGTGCCCAAAACGTGTTTGAAGTGTTTGCAATGTGCTTTTCTCCTGAGCTCTTAAACTTTATGTTCTTAAAAAAAAAAATCATTGAAAAGAGCACAAAATTTTTTTAAAAAATTAGAAATAATTTGTTTTGTTCTTTTAAGTTAGCTGAGAATATTTTTTTAAAACTTACACATGTGTAATTTTATAATAATGTGAGATTTGATTTCTTAACTTTTATCTAAGAAACATTTTCTTTTTAAAAAGAAATAAAGATTTCTTTTATCTAAGAAATATATAAAGAATATATTTCTTTATTTTTATCTAAGAAATATAACATATATATATATGTTATATAAGTGCAGTTATATAACATATCAGTTACCCTTTTCCTGCTACATTCTTTATACCCACTTAAGTTTCTCTTTAAAAAAAAAAAACAATGGAGCAAAAATCATGAGGAATTCACGTGTAAGTTTTCATCTCTCCAGATCTGGCTATGTCTCCCTTGAGTTTCTCTTGTCCAGAATTCACACCCAGGGCCTGCCCTGCCTCTATACTTAGCTCCTCCCCAGGGTAAGAACATGTCGTAAGCCAGAAAATCCTTGCAGACAAAAGTATTTTCCCCATCAGGAGGATGCATATAATACCAAATAAATACACACAAAAAAATCACTTTTCCCTTTTATATAGCTTTGTTCACAACTAACATATTTCCCCCTTATCACAGGTACCAGAGATTTGAAAAGGCCTTCCTCTTGGCTGTTGACATTGGTGCTCGTGACCTGTTTATGGTAAGTCACTGCCAGAGATGATTTTTGTGTCTTCAGTTCTAAGGCTGAGTAAGTTGTCAGCTTTTGTGACCATTAAAAGGGATTAGTGTCATTTGTAGCCTTAGACACATGGCGGGAAGGCATTATTGCACCATGGCTTGCAGCACTGCCCTCACGAGCTGCTCAATAGCTATCTCGTATCTTTTGGCTTGTTGACATTTTCCTTGCCAGGGCCAAAGGATCTTTTATATTTTCAAAGCATTTATAATTCTTGAACTTTTCTCCCCATGAACCTTGATGTGCAGAATTGACACCTTTCCATCTATTAAGTCTAAATGTCTTTCTAATCCATGCTCTGAGCAAGCTTGAAGCTCCAGAAGCCAGGACACAGGAGGAAATGTGCCCCAGAGATCTGAACGTACTGTTGGGCCCTCAGGTTCCAGTGAGAAGTAAGAAGTGACAAGTGCTTTCCTTGTGTTTGGCGTAACTAGAGAGAAAAGTGAATCCCCAGGTGCTGAGTGCACTGTTCCCTTGCTCTGCTGTTTGTCACTTTGCCAGTGGTGACACTGCCCAGCTTCTTACAGACCCCGTGCCTACTGTCATGCTCCTGTCTGAGACTGTAACTTAATTACACTTCTCTCTTCCTTTCTTTGCTCCAAACCCTCTGATCTCCCCCTACCCTGGCCACATCCCGTATCCTCCCCACCCTGATTCCTTTCTTATAAGAACTTTCACCCCAGCGAGGTCAAATGAACAAAGTAGCAAATCTGTTGTTATCAAAGAAACAGTAAGACAAAGGTTTGTACTGTTCTTTTGCACTGTGAAGATATTAAGTGTTGCTGTTTCCTAAGTAGAGTTCATTACCTTAGCTCATTTGTTTTTCAATTGAATTTGGGTTTAAAATTCTAAACTATAGGTGACGGAATTTGAATTTCATATTGTCAAATCAATTGTACATATATTAATCATGAAAAAATAGTAATTACTTTCAAAAGTATAAACATTATATTTTCCATCTTCACTTTGCTCTCTGCTTGGGCAAGCATGTCAGTGTGTTGACACTGTGCTTCAGATAGCCCAGTGGAGAGCTTAGATTTCCATCTAACTGACCCTTCTTCCTGTCTTCTCGCCTCTGCTGCATCTTACTCAAATAGAGGTATATCATCCTCCTCGCTCCCCTTCCTCTCCCATTCCCCCACTGCTTCCCACTCCTCTTCCTCCTCTGTAGTGAAGGGCGCTGCGGGCAGGCCTGCTTTTCGTCCTGCCCAGCTCCCGCACAGCTAGCCTAGCTTAGCCCCAGAAATAACAACACACAAATTGTATTCATTTAAACACTGTCTGGCCCATTATCTCTATAGAGTTAGTTACTGGCTAACTCTCACATCTTGATTAACCCATTTCTAATAATCTGTGTAGCACCACGAGGTGGTGGCTTATCAGGAAAGATTCAGCATGTCTGGCCTGGTGGCTGGCTCCATGGCGTCTGCCTCATTGCCCTCTTCCCAGCATTCTGTTCTGTTTACTCCACCCACCTATGTTCTGTCCTATCAAAGGGCCAAGGCAGTCTCTTTATTAACCAATGAAAATAACACATAACAGAAGGCCCACCTATATCACTCCTCCTTCAATGGGGTCCCAGTATGTAGTCCTGGCTGACCTAGAACTCTCTCTGTAGATCTCTGAGTTCCAGAATTAAAGGCGTTGGCCCCAGGCCCGGCCCCCAGTTCTTCTGTTCTGCCGAGAGTCCCAAGGGTGGAGAGGCAGCTGAGAGCTATGGTTAGAATTGTAATGATTTTTGCTGGGCAAAATTTCTCCCCGAATATTATATCCTGTAGTTTATTTTTTTATTAATTAATAGATATAATTATCAAAACCACCTTCTAAACTATTTTCATATTTGTTTCAGCATTTTAATCTGTTTAACCCAGTACCAATTTAGAGAAACCTTTGTGTTCCTTCAAATCTCCTTAATCCAAGAGCTTTTCTACTGACGGGCTAAAATAGAGGAGAGGATGACTAGACGCTCAGTTTGGAAAAGTACAGACGTTATTCGGAGTGCACATCTTCACTCCTCATCTAAGACAGCGCCTTTAGCCAAGGTCTATTTTAAGGCGTCTCAAAATACAGAGTGTTGAGGCCTCGGAGCTCTGTTTAAGTTTATGAAAGTACCGTGTACATTTGAGACTTGATGTTGAAATTATCTAAAAGAATTTATCATGTTTTCATATAGATTGATTCTTACTGTTTGAATTTCATCTGGCCAGAGGTTCATAGCCTATATTCTAAGAAATATTACCTCCTTTGAAAAGTGAAAGTTTATAAAATAAGCAGGATTATCTCTACTTGCAAAGGATTTATTATCTTTAAGCCATCTCTTCCTTAAAGATTAAAAATAATACCAAAGAGACCAAAAAAATAGTACCTCTGGCTGGGGACATAGCTCAGTTGGTAAGTGTTTGTCAAGCATGTGCAAGGCCCTGGGTTTGATCTCCACAACTCATAAACCAGGTGTGGGGGCACAATCCTGTAATCCTACCGCTTGTGAGGTGGAGCCGAGAGGACCAGACGCCAAGGTCATCCTTGGTCACACAGCACTTGGGAAGCCCATCTGAGCTATATGAGACTGTCTCAAAGCAACAGCAACACCACCAATGAAAAGGACCAGAGAGCCTGAAAATAACACTTTTTGCTTTAGCATCTGTTGGTGGTGAACAGGTGAAGGTATACAATATGGCGAGGAAGGTGATGTATCTGGAAAACAGGCAGCTGAGACCAGAGGGGCCCAGGTGTGAACTAAGGAGTTGGAGTTCACCTTTAAAGCTGTAGGAACATGATGAAGGGTTTGGATCGGAAGAGTGATGCTCTCATAAGTTCGATCAGGAGTCTGCACGCCTTTTCTGGGAAAGGACTAGGTAGTAACTATCTCAAGATGCAAGCCTCATAGTTACTACACAGCTAGTGAGCACTGCAATCATAGAGGGAAGGCAGCTCACAGTGTTCAAACTGTAAGTATGGGTGTGCTCCAGTAAAGCTTCATTTACAATGGTGTGAACAGAATAAAACTTTCAAATGTTGCACACACACACACACACACACACACACACACACACACACACACAAAACTAAAAACCAAAACTGTGATCCCTGTGTTCCCCCCCATCCCGCTCCAGTGTTTTAAACTAGAAAAAAAAAGTCTCTAGTGACATTTGACTGCATTTCATAGTTCCCACACCTCATTTAGAGGGATCCAAGGCTGCAGTATGGAGAGGAAGGGGAAGAGCCGCTTTCAGGGTGAAGGTTAGAGTAGAAGAGCCCATTTCAGGTCCATCTCCTCACACTAGTGCTTCAGGGGCTGTTGATTCGGTTCCAGACTAACCTATTGGCTCTGTGGGTTTCATATAGTTTACCTAATGCTGTTTGCTTCCATTTTATTGTTTGTAAGATGGTAACAATGCATAAATTGCCAAAGTATGAAATAGATTAACATATTTGAAGTGCCTGGCATACTGTAATAACTTGGTAACTAGGATGTCTAGCATGTTTTCCTATTATTCACCTTTCAAGTCTTTGTCCAGTGTTTAATTTTAAGGTAGGGGTGTGTGTGTGTGTGTGTGTGTGTGTGTGTGTGTGTGTGTGTGTGTGTATGAGATCAGTAATCTGGGCTTTATACAACTTTTGAAATTTGTATGTCTCTACTTGATAGCTTAGAATCATTTAAGACAGCCTTGTTTCATAGTCTGCTCTTTTACCTAAAATATCTTAGAAGATAGATTGATTTGTGTACTTGAATTAATCTACGGTAATGGTAGCATTTGAAAGCAAAAAGTTTCAGTAAGTCATGTTGATGGTCCAAAATTCTTCATAACAAAGAGGGAATATGCTGATATAAATAAATAACCAGTAAAGAGTAAAATATTAGAACTAAAATCCAGCATATATCAGAACAAGTCATTTCAAAAAAATCAGAATTATAAATAACCCATAAACACAGGAAAATGTTGAAAGTCATTGGTGGTGAAACTGTGGACTATTGCTCTTAAGGCAGTTCAGGGAGCGAGTATCACTAAGGTTTTCGTGAGACTCTTGTCAGGGGGTAGTTGACTATACATGGGTGAATATCTTTGTGGACTTTCTTTGTCTTGCATTGATCCATAGTTCTGTCTTTGTGCCAGGATCATGTACTAGACTCATAGTTTTGGAATTAGGTTGTTTTATATACTGAGATCCTTTGGGATTGCATGTGAATTTTAGGATGCATTTCTCTGTTTCTGCACAGACATGCCACTGAAGCACTGATAGAATTGCAATGGTCACTTTAGGTACGACTGATATCTTTTTGTTGCGCTTTTTTTGAAGTTTCTCTACATGTGTATGCTGCATATTGAGCCCTTTCCTAATCCCTTTTCATTTCTTTTTTCTACTTTCATATCACACGCGCACACACACGCACACACACACACACACACACACACACACACACATGTATCTTCATGTATCTCTATAAAATCTCGGAACCACAGATAAGAGAAAGCATAATTTGTCTTTCTGAAATCAGCATAGTTCAGTTGACACATCTGTTTCCCTGCAAACAGTGTGGCTTCTTTTTGCATGGTCTTGAAGGTTGATGGTGCTTTCTTCTACGTTGTGTTGTCTGGTTTGTTGATTGGTTGATTTTCAGAATTTCTGTCTGGTTCTTCGTCAGTGTCTGAACTCTTTACAGGGTTTTTCCGTGTTGTTTTAAATTTTCTTCTTCCATGTTACTGATTCTTCATCTGCTTTTGTAGTTTTCTTGTCTAGGTCCTTGATTGATTAATTTCATAACTGTCTTCAGGATTTTTTATTTGAGTCCTCTCTGTGGTCACTGCTCCTCTTCCAGTGTGTAGGATCTGACACTTCACTTCTAACCACTTTTGTTCTACATTGTTGAGAAGCTCTCAGCTTAGGAGGGGCTCTCAGTGGAATGCTGTCTCATGCTTTCTATTCTTTTGCTGGGTTTCGCGTATCTGTTTGCATGTATGTGT